ACACACTGCTGTAAGAGTATAACCAGGAAGCGCGGTAGGAGGGCAAAATAGGTTTAGCGCCACCGCAGCATGGGAGGAGAATTACGCCCAGGAGCAAATGGATAAAAATAGACCGGAGGAAAAAAAAATACATGAATCGATACTCTTGCGTATCGATGCATCGGATCGTCAACTGTTGGATCGATGCATCGATACAAAACGATTTTTATTTACACCCCTAGTGGTGGCAGCATAATGCTGCGGGATGCTGCTTTAAATACAAGCCAATCATGTGAGACGAGCTGAACAAACACAAACAGACTGAGGCAATAACACAAGACCAATGCTACAATGAGCATCATGATGTGTTTGAACGGCCTAGTCAAAGTCCATCACTAAACCTGAATGTCACAGACATGCTTATAAGGTTGGAAATGAAATACCCTAAAAGTGTCCCCTCTAAATGCATCTAAAAGTTAAATAAAATGCACACAACACATTTTAGATTTACGCACAACCCAATTTCAGTCTGTAAGATAAAATAACATACCGGTAACAGAAAAGGGGATTATCAAGTTAAAAAAAATGAAGGAAAAAAATCTAATTTTATGTAAAAAAAAAAAGAAAAAACGTACTAGAGTTAGTTTTGGAGATATTTGAGGAAACATGAAGATGATTAAAGACGACCTGGAGGCGCTCGTTCTGCACACCTTTTGCTCCATTTGTCATGTAGACTGTTAAACTTTTTTAATCACATGCTTGGCATACCGGAGGGGAATTATATGTCTTGATGTAGGTGGTCCCGCCTGCATTTGGAGCAGAACAAAGAGTACCAGTGCGCTCCCAACACCAACAACAGAGCAGCAAAGCGGGAACAGGAATCCTCTCCCAGGCTGGATGCATGTTCATGCGGGCCAAGGTTCCCAGGAGGGAAGTCGCGGGTCCTGAAAGGGCTCTGGGGTCCGTCAGGCAACAGATAAGCAGACCTAAACCTCTGCATACCCTTCCTCCAACAAAAAAAGTTTGGGCTCAGAGCACGGACAATCTCACATAGAGGCCAAGAGGAAATGGCTTTGACCCACTGCACCCTGACCCCTCTGAGTTTCAGCCTAAAACAGAACACAGGACAGTGGGACCGGATGTTTTTGGAAAGAGGATCCTTTCTCCATCCTCCACCCTCCCCCAGCAGGTCTGTGCTGAAGATGTGGGAGGTCTGCCTCCCTGAGCCGAATGCAGAACCCTTAAAGAATGAGCCAAAGCTCGCAAAAAAAAAAAAAAGAAAGAAAGAAAAAAGGCCGACATTCCTTTAAAATGTAGGAATAATTGGAACCTGATGGGCTGCAGTCAGGGGATCTTGTTATGACGGCCATGTTGGGGGGCCCACGTAACCATAGTAACCCAACCACAAACTGGGAGGCTGTGTTTGTGTTGATTTTAACACTGTTTAGAGCTAAATATTGTTAAAAGAAAACAATCCGAGTGATATATGGGACTACATATTCAATTAAACTTCTACTTGCATTCCTTAAAGGTCAGGTCTGCCCCATTATTAAATTTATTTAGTGAGAGCAGTAGAGAGCCCAAAATGTCTCTGAATCTCAGATGAGAGGAGGACTTAATTACAGACTCCATTTTCCAAACTTCTTGCTTCTTTTTGACCTGTTTTCAAGCATAAATATAAAAGTCTGCTTAATTTCTGCAGCAGTCAGGCTTTAAATGGACAAAGATGGAGGGAGGAAAAGTCAAACGGTGTGAGAAAGTAATGAAGATGTCACCTTCAGCAATGAGCTAAAAAGCAGCTGATGTTTTTATTTATGCAGATATGACAGTTTGGAGAACATGGACTGCGAGCCTCTTCCTCCACCAGGAGGGGTCCACAGCTAGAGCAGGAGGCATGCACAGAAACTGCATGTGTCCCGCCACAAGAATGTGGGCTCTGAGTTTTAAGAAGACATTCCCCCCGCCGCTGCTCTTTATAGCAGCAGTCTAGCTGCCCAACCAAGAACCAAAAGGCTCTCTCCCTCCTTCGCTCCACGAAGAGCAAATAGCTTCAGTCTGCTGCGAACAAAGTCGTCAGCGTTGTTTACAGAGGAGCGCTTTACACAGCTTGCGTGCGATATTGCAATCCTGGCTGATAAGCGTTTCGGTGCAACCACTCACCACTTCAGTGTTGGTGATCTTAGCCAGCAGGTTCGTCAGGTTGTCTCGACTCAGCCTCTGGTCAGTGTGGTCCAGCTGCAGTCCGCAGATGGCGGCTGCCATGCTGCCGGTGGCGATCATGGAGGGAGGGTTCATGGCGAGGCGGTCATCTGCCGAACGAAGACAGTGAAAGAGGCGGTTCAAAGAGCAGGAGTGACAGCATCTGTCTGTGCACGGCAGGTGGAAATAGCTGAACCGTCTCCGGTCCGTACGCTGCCACAGGCAATCCAGATTTTATTTTATTTTTTTCCCACAGTCTGGATCTGAAAAGACGTAGCTACAACAAACCTGTGTGGGTTTTCCCTCCTCAGAAACCTCAGCTCTGATTGCAAAAGCAGAGCAGGAAATTTCTCCCACTCGCTGCGCAATGAGCTACAGGCACAACTCTCCCGAGTCCACATGTGAGTCTGAGAATCTTCAGCTACAGGCGGACCTAGATGGATGAAGTGCAATCCCTCCTCAGCTTATTCAAACCTAAAACTATTTGAGGTTTCTCTTATGCAATCCTGACCCTCCTGGCTCAGTACTCCTCCTATTAGAGGACATTAGTGGTTTTTACACAAAAAAAACAAAAACAATGTATGCTTTTCCTTTCACTTCAAGGATACTTTTTAATAAATCTGTCCAAAAAAGGACATTAGAGCTCCTGTAACATGAGTTAAACGGGTCGGAAGGGGTGTGAATACTTGTGCAAGCCTCTGTAACAGCGGTTCCTTCCACATCTTATTGCTGCATACAGACAATCTGACTTTTATGTCAGCAGGTCCGTACTTCTCTACTTCTTGTTTGGCGTCAAAACATTTTTCTGTCCATTAAAAGTGAAAATATAAAGAAAATATTGGAAGTTTAACACAAGCAAAGTACCTGCAGCAAAGCAAGGAAACAATCAAAGTTCTTCTGCAGCCGTGGTGGCCTGATAGCTTTAATTAAACCCTTCTACAACCATCCTGTCCTCAAGGGACCAGCTGTCCGTATAGGAGGAGCTCCGCCGATATAAGAATAACATCTCCACTCTGTATAAAACTCCAAACATTTACATTACAGCTAAACCGCAGCAGGCTTCCCCTTTTTTTTACCCCCGCTGCGGCTGCTTCATGCTTTGATATGAGCAGCTGCTTATGAATAGCAGAAGCAACCGCCGAAACACACCCAAATGCAAAAAGAAGTGTCACAAAACTGTGCAGAGAATCAAGCTGGGAATGAAGTTTGTTACAGCGACATGCGTCTGCTCCGACTGCCCTGATCCGACCACGCTGATGCCTGTGGGATTTTAATTGCACAGAAGTCACCTTCCTGTTTTGTTTCTTTCATTGAAATTAGCAGGAGAGCCGTCCTGTGACAGACTCCTACATATTATGTCTGCTGGACAATCATGTGGCAGCATTTCTGTCCAGGATATGAAAATATTAGAGGGATTCCTAGTATAGGCAAAGGAATCCCTTGAAAACATAAAGGAAAGGCCTGAGGGGACAAGCTCCCCCTTAGCTTTCAGTTTATTTTGGACATGAGGCCAGGATGGGAGGAGGAAGGAAGATCAGCCTGACTCTAAACCTTGAAGCTTCCCCGACAACAAACAATAAAGGACGACCAGCGCAGGAGCAGCTCTACATTACAGTACAGTAGAATAATTAACAGTTAGCGCTACTAATCCAGAGACATCAGATAAAAGATTCGTGGAAAAAAAACATGAGAGAGTGCTTTAAATGCTTTAAATGGCTGTGAAGAAGTGATTGAGGGGGTTTTCTAGAGAGACGAGGAAGATGAATCAGCCTGCAGAGACGTAGGTCGTCACAGATGACTCAGTCTGGGGGAATGTTCACATGTGTGGGAATATTTGGTTGAAGGAGGAATTAAAAAGCAGCAAACTGAACCTGCAAAACAAAAATGTGCAATAAAAGGCAAAGGAGCAGATTTTTACCTGTGGCACAGAGGGCGATGAATGTCAGCGTGTGTTTACGGACCATTGCCTGCTTGTCTTTGGGAAGGGGCAGCCGGCGCATGATGTGCTCTATAAAGTCATTGGGGATGACTGAGGCCATGTTCCACTTCAATTTCCCCAGGACAACCAGTTCCCAATCCTAAAGCATTAAAGAAAAAACACAAGTCTGTTTGTTAAAAACTGTGATTCTAGACAAAAAAAAAAAACACACCCAGCCGGGCTTTAATGGTGTACTGCCATGACTTCATCTGCCATAAAAAAGATCACAGCCGCTCTTTATTCCCAGAGGAAACGACTCCGTAAGAAGAGTAACTTTTCTTCAGTTTATATCTCCTCACTGTATCTTATTATCTACATGCCTTTCTCATTCCCCGCATCCTTTGTGTTCATATCGCCAGCATGTGACAAGCTTTGCCCTCTTCAGAGGCCCTGCCAATAGACGGCAACCCTCCTAGCTTCCTGTCACAAGCCTCAAACAGCTACAAGTTCACACTGCACAAGCAACAGTCGGCCTTTGTAGAAAGCAAAACAGGTCTTTGCATTTTCACCTTTTAATTTCCTGTGTTTCCATATCATTGCAGTCATAGCTGAAAGATTTAGTTATCTACTAATCATCTCTTGTTAAACCTTCGCTATCAAGTCAATAAAAGGCTAATTATTAACGAGGATCTTCACATTTCTTCACATTAATGACAACCTTTGTATTAAATCGTTGTATGTGATCTATTTTTGCCACTGACTTTAAATAAAAAATGCATTGATTTGAATGGACTTTCAATCAATTTATATCTTTACTCTTTAACTGGAGTGGATCTGATATCTTACACCAAACGGAAATTGGGTATTATGAAGGAAAAGCACTGAGCTTGGTACAAAAAGCAAGCTTCACCTACATGCATCGCCCAAACGGCAACCTAGTCAGATTTTATATGCTGGTAAAGTCATGCTTTAGGACCAATTCTGTTTCAAGCTGCCTTAAACATCGAGCCATTGTTTTAGGCTACAGATTCAAAAGGTTAAATTTAATGACAGACTGTGAGTTTTTGAATTTCTACACCAGCTGCTAACTGCTTGCATTCATAGGCTTTCAGACGAATGGCACTCTGATGGCATAGTATATTCCATTTCTTTGTTGGTAAACAAGCAGATTCATATTTAACATAACATGTCATTATAGGTAAGATGACACAAAGCGACTTCCAGGTGAGGTGAAAAATGTATAAAATGTTTCAATCCAAAAAGGATAAGAGATGAGCAGAGCTTGTGGTACAATAGGGGCGATTGGGATGACAGAAGCTGCAGCTAGAACTGTTGTATTGCCAGCAGATGGCGACGAAGCGCATCTCTGCTGAACAAGCCTGATGCAAGAATTGCTTCCATGCTTGAAAAGGACAAGGTAAACACTCAGTATGACCGCTTTGTTAATTTTAACAAACTTTTATTTTTTGGTGTAGGTGGGGTAAGTTATTGACCCCTTTATCACACAGACCAACCGCATCGTCTTCCCTCAAGTCACAATGGACTGAAGATCTGTTTTTTGCCTTCATTTCTTATTTTTCCATAGTGTCACAAATGCAAAAACCAAACAAAAAAGCACTTATAATTTATTTGAACGTTTAGATTAAACTGTTTCATTTATTGATCCATAACCTGCACAGTTCTCAAATCGGTTAAAATTAGATTTTTATCAATTTCCGGCCTGTTTCTCCTAAAGTCTAAGACTCTCCACATCTAACACAGAGGATAAAAATGTATATAATTCTATTGGTTTGCACAGACAAAAAGGTGATCAAAATTAATCTGTTAGGAAAAACCTGTGGTCTCAAAGTTTAATTGGAGAGGCAGAAACATCTCATCTATTGTAATAAAGATAAAGTTGGCTAGCTAATATCAGTCCATAAATAATCCCAGGTTTAAGGTAATGGTAAGTCTGAGCTTAGAGCTATCCAGTCCTAGCCTTGTGAGACCATCCTGATCTCGCGAGCTTTCAAGGTTTCACTCGCAGATCAGTCTGGAGACTCTCCGTTAAAGAAAATTTGGAGCCGTTCACCAAACGAACGTCCAATCAGCGTTGGCTTTGAGGCGGGTTGAGGTGTGACGCAACGAGAAGAGCGACAGTTCAGTCTAAAGAACATGGCGGCTTCAGCCGATGAAACTAGCGTTAGCGTGGCTATCGAGCAAGTTTTATCGGAATTACAGAGTATTTCTTCACTGAAAGAAGAGCAAAACACTGCTCTGGAGGCTGATCTATCAATTGTCTCCTCTTCGTCGTCGCTCTGTTACATCATATGCTTCGTTGATCTGATTGGTTTATTTGGCCCGTCTATCACCAACATAGGCCAAACAGCTAACCAGTATTTTCGCCCCTTCCCAAAATTACTTCAACGGAAGGTTTCCAGATGGATATGCGGAGCAAATCCATCTGGCGGAGTCAGGTTAATCCAGTCCTGGAGGGCTATCATTCGGAGAGTTTTAGAAGAATCTCCTTTCAAACACAATTTCATGCAAAGGCTGAATTTCCTCAGTATGTCTTTCCGGAAACCAGCCACTCATTTGGTTAAGAAGTGTTGGAGGAGGGATGCATCTAAAACGTAGTAGGGTGGTGGCTCTCCTGGGCTGGATTATACTACAAACAAGATGGCAGCATGTCCATCCTTTACATGGTGTCTGCTCTTCTTTGGTCTTTAAATTAAATCTATTTAAATGTTTCTTCCAACCTATCATTGTGCTTTAGAATGTTAAAAAACAGAACATTTAGAAAAAATCAATGACTTTCTGAGGATGTTTTGGATCACATTGGGTTCCTAACATTCTCTACTTTTCATGACTTTGGAGAGTTGTAGATAATCTTTTTTTTGTGTGTTCCAAGGTGAGCACACCTGCTAAGATGCTAAACCAGGACATTACTCCTGAAACCACTTGTACTTTGACTACTGAACAATCTGTACAACCAAAATATTAGCTGGCATTCGATGTTAATCCTTCACCCTGAACCCGTTATCCCTGCACAGATTTAGGAGATGCTGCTTGGTGTCATGATCCCTGTTGCCTCTCTAACCAGAGTCTGGAAAAAAACAACCTAATGGTTGCCGCTCTATGACGCTCTTTATGCAAATATCTGGATTCATCTGCAGCTGCTAAGTCTAAAAAGTGAAACCCAACTTGTATCATTTTGAACTGCTGGCTATAAATGTTCAAACCTAGTAAATCTACAACCATGATGGTGATCTGTATTTGTGTTCCCAAGTTGTCAAGCATTCATTACCCAAGTTCCCATATCAAGCTATACTAAGGTATTAAAGATTTACAGTTTTACAAGCAGTTATCCATCATCTGACCTCTGCAGCTATACGGAACTGAGTCCCGTACCCCTCCCCCTTCCTGTGGATGTGCAATCATGGTCGGCTGCAGACTGACCTGTTCATCCACTATTAGCAGCTTTATTAACTCAGAAGTACACTTTGTTTAACCAATGTTTTCCCCCTAAATCTATGCCAACAAATGTTTGTTGAAAATAAATGCTACTAAATCCTATTTGATAATAACCAAAAAAGATAGGTAAATGTCTTAGGTTGCAATGTTTGTAGTGAAGGACGTTATATCTTGAAATTTTCCCCACATCACATTCTTAAATCTTTGATTTCAAAATCCAATATGGCTGCTGTGCTCATAGAGCACGGTTAGAGATGCAAGAGAAAGAGTTTCACATGTTTATAATTCATAATAATGAAACTCAAATTGTATTTATGGTTTTCTTTTGGCTATAGATTCAATTCAACATATCTTTGTTGTAAAGAGGTGCGGTGATATAGGGGTTAACTGATGCATTTTAATGCTGGAAATTTAAATTTCCCATTAAATTAGCTCTGAGTGCAATACACCATCATAAGACAGGAGAAGCTGTGTCATTGTCTTGATGAAGATTTGTGATGTTTGAATGCTGTTTAAAAAAAAAAGAAAAGCAAAAAGGTCCTGTCTATTGGTTTTAGTAGTTCTAAAGGCTAAAAGTAGAAAAACATCTTCAGAACATCCTAATCCAGGATGGCTAATTAGCAGCACAAGAAATCCAAAAAGAAAAACATTTTAATCTAATTTAGTAAAATCTGAAATATAATTAAAAACAAACTGCACAGCTAAATCCAGACAAAACTATTCAACATTTAAACATGGTGACATAAAAAAAAAAAAAAAACAGATGACTGTAACTTCTCATTTCCTCTACGGTAAAGCTAATCCCCTACAATGCAAACGTAGTAAGCATTGAAACCCCGACACCAGTTAGGGACCGTCCCCCACCGGCTTTCTACCAAAAAGGCCTTTATCATCTCGGACGCCGGTAACCAGTCACACTTGCTTGGGTTTCCTGTGCATAACCCAAATCTTACGAGCTTATGTTAAAAGGAAGATCAGTGATAGTAAGATGAGAAGTGAAGATCGTCTGCTCACTTCCTGAACACTGAAAACAGTCCTGACAACCTTTGCTTTAATCTGTCCTGTTTTAAAGGCCTTAACATGTTAAAAATCCAACAAATTATATTTCCTGATGATTGATAGTGCACAAAAGATTGAAAATACTCACCTCCTAGCATTCCTCATGCTAAAACTAAACGGGAAACAGCTAAAACCCTGATAAATAATGATATCTCTATCTTGTACTGCATTGTTAGCACTAGATGGCATCACAAACCCCTGCAGTCCACGTGAATCCACAGCACAGACGTGGCTGTGTTGTTGCACAGTTTCGCTTGTGATGAAAATTGGATACTTCCTGTGAGACTAATTCAGCTATTAGCATTATAAAATCCTCCAAAAAAAGAATGTGATGCAGCATTTTCAAAGGCTCACATGAATGCATGAAGGAATGAATGACTGAAGGAAACCTTGGTTCTTACCAGCAGCTCTCGTGGTGTGATGGAGTTGTCTGTGTAAACGCAGAGCTTCTCTGCTGATAGAGGCCTGCAGTCCTTCAGCTTGGCGGCCAGGAAGATGCACACAGCACCCAAAAGCTGCAAATAGTTTTTTCTTGTGGGCATGGTTGCTAAAAATCTGTCCAAATAATTAATGGCTAAAGGGAAGACATCTTGGTTGGTGTTTTCCTCCTCACAAACCTGCATGACAGACATTTAATAGAGAAAAAGATCCATTTGTTTAATCTAAAAGGAAAGTTCATTAACAAGCTTTTAAATTCTTAGAAAAAGACGTTAAAAGCTTGGTTGATTTTTTATTTTTTTTTAATTGCACAAAATAAACCGTAGAGAAGTTTAACACAGTGGTTCACAGGTTTAGAAAGAGTTTCCCTAAAAGAAAAAAATCCCTTTAAAGATCAATACAGTTTATGACCACCAGGGGAAAACGTCTCCATTGTTACTGGTCTACTGGGTCAGCTGAACTAGTTTTCTATAAGTTGCTTATAGTTCAGGTATGGCAAATGAGCTGAAAAATTACCAAGAAGTCACATGTCATGGTTTACATTTATATTCATTAAAAGGAATTATTTTTCAAAGAACTAACATAAAAGTGAGCTGCTAATGTGGTTGACAGTCCATCATTCACATTCATCAAAACAACATTTCAGTTTTGCTAATAGAAAATTAACTGGTCCTCCCTTTAAATACTTCAGGTTAAGCTTGTCTGAGATGCAGCTTTCGTTTTAATGACATTAAGCCTTTCAACAGATTCCCCGCCAACATATTTCCAACGTCTTCCTAATGCTAAATTTTGGTAATATTGTTGAGTTCAATTTCCTAATTGGTCAGTTACTGGAGCCTCAGATATCCAAATGTAGACTTATGCAACAAAATGTGGTTAGTCTAAATTGTAGAAGTAAAGCTTATTTTAATAATTATTTAATCAGGGTGTAATTACGCTGACAACCACCAGGGGCAGACTAAGTTATGGTAAATAAATGTTTACAACTTGAATGTTCAAAGAAATGGGGACAGGTGATTTGGCCTCTTTAAATATTCATGACTTATAATTCAAGGCACTTTGCAGCCTTCTGAAAAAATAATATACATTAAATTAAACATTAAAATCTAAAATAAAATAAAAAAAAACTAAGAAAACAGGCTCACTCTCCAGAATTTATTACCTAACAAATAGGATGTAGTTTATTTGAACTTAAAAAAATAATGACAAATTATTGATGAGCTTGGATAAAGTCTATTTGTTTTTCTTTTCAGATATTTCGATATGCATCGTGGGTTTTTATCTTGAAAGAGTGCGCAGTGACGTCATGAGGTGCAGGCTGATAGTGAAAGTTGTGTCGCAGTGAATCTGGTGAATGCAAGGTTTTTAAAGTTAGAAAATAATTATAAAAAAATAAAAATATGATTATTCGTTTTTACCACTAAAGAAAATAAAGAAAATGGGTCAAATTTCGATGTAGTTCTGCATTTCAAAACTAAATAACTTGTTTAATTTTAGAGCATTAAATGCATCAGAACGTGTTTGCTCTTTAGAGAAAAAAAGCAGGCCTAGGTGGCTTTGTGAGCAGGGACATAGTTTCTTTCCCTTTTAGTGCCTTTTATTGGCTTATTTTTTTTGCACCAATTCACTGAATGAAATGCAAAAGAATTAAGCAAATGATCTAAGTAGGAAGTCCTTCTGCAACTCCCTTCTCGTTTTTTCTAATCCTCTTCCTCGTTGGCGATTGATTCATTAATGAAAGTTATTCGAAACTTTTTTTAGATGCATATAAACTGCCTCATAAAACACTTTGCAAAAGTAGCATGTGATGAAATGTTAATACTTTGTAGATATTTGTATTCACTAAACAGAGAGCGCCTCTGCCTGCTTCTGGTTTCAAAGCTGAGTCGCTTTTTCAAAAATCTGTAAAAATTAGTAAAAAATTAAAATTCTCAAATTTTCGACTATGTAAATTAAGATAAACTTGTTAGCTGTCGTCTGATCACGCTTTGAAGCAAATCAGACATACAGATTGGCTTTAAATTGATGTAAATAAATGGCTGAGCACATTGAGGCAGATTTTTCTCCTGGGTGGAATTTCCGACTCCCCCACGCCTTTGGTGAGTCACTCTCATTCAATTGTAAAATAGGTTAACAACCAGAACAGCTTTTCTTTGAACTTATCCCTCGGTTAAAACCACTTTTAGAATAAATATAAAACATGCAAACAAACGGGACAGAAGTTAAGCAGGCAGAACTTTCCTACAAACCTCATGCATCCAGTCTGCAACCATTTTTCTCATATAAGGCTGAATGTCCTTCTGGACCCGCTGGAAATACGAACACTGAGGTAAAAAACTCTCCTCGATAGTTAATAAACTCTGCAGCACTCTGTCATCATAGAGGATGTTTGGGTCAGGCTTGGCTTTCACGGCTGTGTCCGACTCCATGCAATACAGCCCCATGACCAGGGCTCCCTTCTCTTCTTCCCCCATTTCTCTAAACTTTTTTCTAACTAAAGTTATACAAATAATATATATATATATAAATAAATATCACAATGACTTCACCAGCCGACTGGAGGAGTAAAAGTCCCCGAGACGAAGCATGAGGCTGAGGCAACGAGGTTCACTCCCGACCTGCTGCCTCTCGGGTCTGCTTCTTCCTCCAGGCAGCTGAGGCAGCTAACTACGACACAACATCCGGCATCTTCAAAATAAAAGCCCCGGCATTTAAAGTATTGCGTTTGATCATACAATAGAAAATAAAAGAATTAAATAGAAACAGACACACACATACAAGCGCAAAAGAATAGGGGTTCACAATTAATTTAAAATACGAAAGGGCAAAAATATTTCAATATAACTATATTAAATTAAGATCTAAAATTATATTTAATAAAACATTAATCCACAAACAGATATGGGTAAATAAAATTAACAATATCATAATAAGGAGTAATAACACAGTGAAAACAAGACCGAGTAAGATACAATGAAGTATAAAGATAAATTTTTTGCTTTTAAATATAATTAAATAAAATGTTAAGCAGAAAAAAAATATTAAAAAAATTAGATATGAAACAAAATAAACAGGATAAAATAATCAGAAAATTAAATAACAGAGACATTAGCTTTAAAAGTGCAGCTAACCCCCAAATTTACCGTATTACATTTAAAGTGCATAAAGTGGGCCTCCAGTGTGTTATTTTAATTGTACACTTTTTATTTTTTAATTTTAGGTGAGCAATTTTACATTTGCAATATATTAATATAATAAAGTTATTCTTTAGGCTTTTATCATCATAGCCTTATGTTTAGGTTTAATAAAGCTCACTCAGACACGCCTCCATAGCAAGTCATCCTGTCCTCTGCCACCTCATCAGCATCGGCTTCAGGCATTGCTACAAGCCTGATAAATCGCTAGCACAGTGGGCTCCACAAAGCCTCTTTAAAACTGGTGACAAAAACATGAAAAATTCTCAGCTTCTTGATCTGTCTGTGGTTTAGCTACCAGTATTCTTCTGCTCACTCTTCATACTTCAATAAGGCTTCACTCAGATAGGACAGGCTAGCTGCTACTTTCCCTGGCGACCCCCTCGCTAAACCCAATTGGATAACAGCTCCAACTATGCTTTAAATACAATGTATAGGCTAATGCAACAGCACCAACTGTTTTTTTAAGCTAATTTTGTTTTATAGTTGATTTTTTTCTAAACAATTGTGTACAGTGGTTGTGTGCATAAAAACAACAGATTGTTATAAAGCATCAGTGAGCTAATTCTGATGATTTCCCAAAAAATGAAACGGTTACTTTTTTCATGGCTTTTCAAAACCCATTACACTTTTAAGTTGTCTAAAATTTGCTAAAGCCAGGTGTTGCACGCAGCTACAGCTCACACTGTATGATGAAACCGCAGGCTTTCGTCATACAGTGTGAGTTCACAGCTCACAATGGATGTTCTCATACTGTGTGACCCGACGCTCTGATGCGATCTACCTGCTCACACTGTACGTCTAAAAACATCAGACTCAGCTCCGCAGTGAGATGGCGCTACTCGGAATCATCTATCCAGAAGCCAAAATAGTAGAGGAGGAATATGAAGCTCACTAGAGTGAAATGCGCTGCCTTTGCAAGTTGTGCAATTTTGTTCTGAAAACCCTAAAAAGAAAAGGTGACAACGTATTTGGACAAAGACATGGCTGAGCAAACGTGGCTACTACGGTCTGTCAATTTTAAAAAAAGAAGTCCATTTTACTCATTGAACCCCCGCCATGCTTCTGTGTTTTCATCTGAGAGGAAGAAGAAGAAGAAGAATCCTTGTTTGCCCACTGAGCGATTTGCTCACAACGGCTGGCTACATTTCAAACATGTTTGATTTTCTCCTGACCTCAAGATTGGTCGTGGGATGCTGATCGCCCCCCTGTACAACGACAATCAAGCTGAAAGTAGGCCCGATTGAAAAATTCTTGCACAACTGGAAAGTCATAATCGATCTGTGTATGCCCGGCTTAAGTAAGCGACTTTAGCAAATGCATTACCTTTAACAATACAGACCCAGAACAGAGGTCTTCTTTACACTGATGTTCTAAATGATTACAGATATGCAAACCATCGGAAATGCAAATTAACTGTTGCAGCTATCTGTAAGAGTATGGCAGCCATATTGGATTTTGAGTTGGTGCAAGTGAAAAATCTTCTCAAGCTGCAATCCACCACTGACCCGCCAACTTAAACCGTTTAACAATTGGTTTGTGACTCGCTGAAATATTTGAAGTTTTCCAACTTGCAGTTTAAATTGTTTTAGTTGGGTAATACCAGGATTGACTTCCAAGGAAATGAATGATCTTTAAAATTATTGCATTTAAGCAAACAAAATAAATATGAGTTTGTAATATTTACCAGTTGACAAGAACACACTTTTGTAGTTCAGCTGAAATTTCTCATTAGGATGTTTTTCAGTGATTGTCAAAGGTAAAAAAAAAAATAGTTTGGGAGAAACCAAACTGAAGAAACTCTCACTGTCCATGCAGCACTTTGTTTTTTATTTTCTCAGGACATTGATTGGTCAGAAAGTGTACAAATACTTCTTATCTAAAAGCCCAACCTGCTCTGGAAGAGGACATGCAAATACTTTGGAGTTAATTATTGACTTGATTTGCTTCTCCTGCACTTGACATTTGTAGCCAATATAACTTAACTTTCAGAGTACAAAACTTCAAACTAATGAGTAATTGTAAACGGCTAATAGCATAATTATATTTGCACCTGAGCCAAACTGCATCAAAGGGACAATGCTTTAATCATAGATTAATTATTTCATGTATTATTCCCAATATGTAGAACTAAAGCTATTTGTCAATAAGCTTGGTAATCTCCCTCCAAATGGGCACAAATATTTGGTGCATAAATCAAAAGACTGTGTTTGTGTCTTCATAAAGTATAAGTGTTAAGCTGACAAGCTATGACAAAAGGTAGGTTCACACTGAAGATTTATGCAGAGACTGGACCGAGTGATTTCAATTTTATCCCTATGAAAGGCACATGCAGGAGCGACTTAATGGTCGTCAATGCAGAGACTAAGTTTCAAGTACATATTTTATTGATCACAGTGAAGCTGCACTGCAAGTACAGGTATGGTGAAAGGACAGACAGATTGAAGTAACACTTGTAAAAGCCAGAAAATCTGAACTTCTGAGCCTGGTTCTGCTGGAGGTTTCTTCCTGTTAAAAGGGAGTTTTTCTTCTCCACTGTCGCTACAAGCATGCTTGGTTGACGCAATCAACTGGTTTTGCTTAGATAGAAAACTTTGAATCAATTTGACTGGATGATCTGGTTGAATTGTTTTTAAAGTGCCATGTGATGACATATTTATGTGAACTGGTGCTATATAAATAAAATGAATCGAATTGAATTAATTTGACAATGCTAACCATTAAGGGGACTTGATGTGGTTTTGATATGGGTTAAAAATGCAAAAAGGGACGAGGATTAACTGGCATCAGTTGTAAAGTTGATAAAAAATATTATAGCTATAACAAACAAGTATTTTAGTAAATTATTATTCTATCAGTTTTTGTCATGGATAATGGAGCAATGAAAAAAGGACATTCTGCATATTGTTAACTTATTGCTTAAGATTCTTTTATGAATAATAGGAATACGTTCAAAGTGCAAATAATTCAGTCCTTATCAACAAGAAAATAAGGAGCTAGCTCTGTAGTGAAAATGGTCATAAAATAGGAAGTACGTAAAGTTTCACTTGCATATTGTGGAACAAACTTTTTGTTTTTGGTCCATCAAAAAGGTAACAGATTTATTGCAATGATTGATATGATCTCTCACTCTGCCCAATCAAAACAAATTTTTCCCGATGCAAAGGTTGGGGCCAAGAAGTGAGTGAGAACTGATCGGCATTAAGATTCAAAACTCACCATACTCTCCTTTTTACCCATTGCTGTCTCCCTCCATTGTTGATAACCACACTTGGCATCCATATATCAGCAGGGAGAGCGATTATTACCGGGGGCAAGCCGCCAGTAAAACAGTGCATTTAATGTTAAATGAAGCATCCAGACAAATAACTTGACTCAAATATCCAATTATCCAAATCTTTGAATCATTCAAGGAATCGTTACGCCCCTAATGAATGTTGGCTTAAACTATTCAATTAAGGTTTAAAGATGAGGGAGGATGCTTGCATGCCAACATTTGTTGAATATTCATGATTTCCTAATTATATTAATTAGACATCTATCCTGCACAATTCAACTGAAAAAACGAAAAAACAAAAACACATTTATGCATAAATCTTTCCGTAAAAGTTCAAAGAAAAAAAATCCACTGGACTTGGTTTCCAAGGTTCAAATCTTGGAAACCAAGTCCAGTGGACGGAATTACTATGACCTGGATGTCTGAGAATCTTTATCAGCATTTTGTATAAATCCTAACATTCTATAACTTTATAGAAACTCTTCTGGATCACAGCTTAGAATTAAGATAGTTCAGTTTCCTTCTAACCTGGCCAGCCATTTTGGTAATGTGTAGCTGACAGGTTTAGTTCTACACATCATCAATCCAGGATTGCGCCCAATCGAATCTGTTCAGGGAACATTGAGCAGAACTCTCTGAGCTAATTGGGTGAAGCGACACCTAGTGCCTGCCTCCCAAAATTTTATTTTAACCAATCACGGTAACAAATCCAAAAGCCATCAGATGCCATGAGAAACCACACCTCACTCGACCCAAAACGAAAGCGAGAGCTGCCGAGTCCCAGCTAAACCAAAAAAAGACATGGATTCTGACAAAGCAGACTAGATCACAGGGGCTAGGTGGACATCCTCTTGAACTGCCATGTTTATTTTGGTTCAGCTGTCGACTTGGAAGCTCTCACTTTCGATTTGTGTCGAAGTGAGAAGTGAGTACAAGTTGTATTGTTCTGTATTTGTGAACGGTCCAATACGGAGAGTTAAGCCTACAGGTAAGATCAGTTCACCTCCTCCATTGACTTGAATAAATCAACCTTACCTGATAAACATTAAAGCAAAACTGTATTTGAGAAAAAAACCCTAATAGCTTGATTAATGGTAGTACGGTGGCCAGACAAAAAGCTTTTATTTAAAATAAAATGTTTAAAATGTTCAGAGAAAATTAGTTATGG